ATAATTACTGTAATTTAGTTATTATATAATAATTATACAGTTATTTAAAATTTATTGAGATTGAAATAACAAATGTTTATTAACAATAATCTCCTAATATTCTTCACTCTCATATTATCTTTTTGTACATCAATTGTTTTGTTGTTGTTATTGTTGTTTTATTTGTTGTTTTTTGTTGTTATAATTAATTAATTAAAAACATTCCTTAGCCTAACAGTAGTTATGTTTGTTATGCGTCCGAAAGTCTCCCCAATTTTATCAAAGTATTCATTACATAATTAATATATGAATACAATTTTGTTTTTTAATTGTTATATTTTCCTCATTTCAATATGTATTTCATTCACTCTTTCTTAACATTATTAATGGTTTCAAAGTTCCCAATCATTACTGTATGTAAAACAAGGATTTACTAGAAAAATGACTTAAAATTGCACAAAAATATAACAAATACATATATACAGTACATGTTCATTTTTATATAAACACTTATTGTTTGTTAGTGTCTTTGAGCTTCAAATGTTCCCAAATATATACACTGTATTTGAAATTAAAATAACGTTTTTAGGTATTCTCTTTATTTTTATATATTTGTATTTATAATTATTATGCAATAAATTAACCAAGAATATCGTTATATCGCAGCATTTAGTATTATATTGTGCTATTATGTATGTAACTATTTTAAAACTAGTAGGTAAAATACTTTTCTATGTTATTTTGAGTTAAATGTCTAATTATATTATTAAATAATACAATGAAGAGAATGCTATTTAAGCACATTTGCGGAGTAAATGAGAAATTGATTTCTCATCTGTTGGTTATTATTGTGTGGGAGAAAAGTGGGGTATTTTTATAGCAAAATATATATAAATCAATAAATGTTATACTTGTGGCGTTTATTTTTTACAAGACATTACCTTTAAATTCATTGTAATTTTCATTTCATATAAAGCAAGAGATTATTTTTGTTGTGTTTTTACTGTTATTCTTATCCTATAAGTAATGATTTTTAAGAAATGATTTCAAATAATTGTTTTCAAAATTTGTATTTTGTGACTAAAACGTTTGCTCTGTAATTACTAGATACTTTTATAATTATATGGATTTTAAAGAGATATTTTTCATATACATTTTGGTATAACAATTTTTATAATAATGTTTTCATAATATGTTTTATTGTTTCTTATATTTAAGTTTAAATATTGAGGTATTTTTGTGGGCAAAATGAATACTAAACGGATATTTAGTCCACTAATTTCATGCTTATTTTTGTATCTTTTACGAATGCCTTAATCATATAATTATATATTTTTGCGAATTTAAAAGTAATTTTGGCAAAAAATTGTTTTATTGCTATACTGTATATCTGGTCTTAATTTTATTAAAAATTTCTTTATTTGGATTTTAAAAATAAATTACAGTATAATTGTGCTGTAATTATATGTATTGAAAGATTTGCTATTTTCTCAATAAAATGTGCTTTTATTTAGTTATGTTTACAAAATATTTTTTCTAAAAGCCCTTCAAATTTAACCGTAATTATTAATGTATTTAATATAATAATGCGCTTTTTGCTGAATTTTACTATGTATTGTCAATTATACTGAACGCAATATTTTATGTATCATTTCATAATTAATTAAAACATTAAATTTTCTATACTTTCTATTGATTTGTTTAATGCATCAATCAGTTTATTTGTTGTATTACTTTATAATTGCACACTTTATTATTCAAATTATATTTTCAAATAAATGTCTATTATTAAAATAACAATATGGTTTTTTAATCTATTAGTTTTGAGCTGGATGTTCTTTTGTAAATAAATGTTAAAACAATTAATTTAAATATTGCGTAAATTTTTATTTATTAAACATTTTGCTTAAATTTAGTGTTTATTTATGGCTATTATATTTTTCAAATAATATTTCCTAGATATTTATCTAAAATATATACAACTTTTGCAATTTAAATGTATTATACAATAAAATTTGATTAATTTATAATTTTACCCCCAAATCAAGTGATTAGAAAAAACAAAAATAATTATAAAATGCAGAAAATAATAATTTAATAATTTAGACAATTATTAACAAAAAGTAGCAATTGTTTGACTAATAATTTTGTAGACTAAATTCAATGTAAGAAGAAATTATCATCATAAATTTACATTAATATTTACATAGTTATTGAGCAAAATATAAGTGAAAAATAAATGTAAAATTTAAATAATTTTAGCGATTTTTGGAGAAAATATTTGGAGTCAGCGATAATTAATGTCAGGTATTGTTTGAAATGATGTCCATATCTAACCGATAAGACCTTTACCGGCGGCGCCTCCTTTAGCGCCTTTGAAGGCGGCTCCGGCAGCGCCTCCCTTCTTGAATCCAGCGGCAGCGCCCGCCTTGGCTGCGGCTCCGGCCTTAGCTCCGGCAGCGGCACCGAAACCAGCTTTGGCTGCTTTGCCACCTGTTTTGGTACCAAAGATACAAATGTTGGTTATAATTGTTTAACAAAATACATTCACAATTTGGCTATATTTAAATAATTCTTAATCTAATCCAATCTATCAATTAATCTAATTGACAACTAGATTGTAAAATTAAATAACAATGACTTTCAATTGTCGGTTTACTTTATATATGCTTTGCTACATATAAACAACAAATTGTCGCATAAAATGCATTGCCCTTCAAATGGAAAGTCAATGATATTTGAGTGACATATTTCTAACACTAAACGCTTAAATGTTATATAGAATTAAAATATGAAAAGCAAATGACAAACCTTTCTTGAAACCGGCGGCTCCGGCGGCGCCGAATTTACCGCCCTTTTTGGCTGCGGCTCCGGCGGCTCCTCCAGCGGCGAAAGCGCCTCCGGCTTTGCCAAACTTGAAGCCTTGGCTCATACCGAATGTCTTGACGGCACCGAACTTCTTGTTATAACCGGCGCCACCGACTTTGCCGAACGCACCCTTTTTGAAGCCCTTCTTGAATCCAGCGGCGGCCGCGCCGGCAGCTCCGGCCTTACCTCCCTTCTTGAAACCAGCGGCACCGGCGGCGCCTCCCGCTGCGAAACCACCCTTTTTGCCCGCTTTGGCACCGAAAGCGGCACCAGCTTTGGCACCTGCCTTAGCGCCAGCGGCGCCTCCCTTCGCGAATTTAGCGCCAGCGGCTCCGGCGCCGAACGCTCCCTTTCCCGCACCGCCCGACTCGGCCACCGCCAGGTCCTCCTCCGACGCACTCGACTCCAAGTCGTCGTCCAAGTATTGGCTCTCATTTGCACAAATGGCACTCACAAACAGTCCTAAGACCAACTGGCAGTTGGAATAATAAAAACATTGCATTAGTTATATACAGATTAACAAATTAAGTACAAAAACAATAGTTTCAAATAAATTAAATAACAATAAATTCATACCAAAGCTAAAAATTGTCTCATTTTGTATTGATATAAAAGTTTAGGCTATTTATAAAAAGTAAATCAGAGAACACAAAGTGGTAAATGATTGACTTTTTTATTTTCGCAGATCCTTTATATAGTGAACTTCAAGTGACAATTAACAGGTAATTTCTAAAATGCAATTTATATTTTGTACACTATTTTTCAATACAATGTCTTATAGTATATTGGAAAATGTGGTGAACTTGAATTCTAAGTGTTCACTAAACCTAAAATCCGTTTTTCACATAGTATTTGGTGATTTGGCCTCTAATTTAGTGAACACTCGCAAAATGTTTGCTTTAGTTTTAATACTATTTATGATAACAAGATATACTTAAAAAAGATAAAGAATTTCAATTGTCTTTTTGTTATACAAAATGTTTGTAAAAATGGTTATTATATTTACTGAATGAACGGATGATAAGTATAATAGGTTTGACAACTATTTTAATAAGCATTTCTTATAACAAAGTTGTTTTCCGTAAAGTTTCAATGTTTTTTGTTTACAAAAATTCTTGGAAATGAAAATTAATGAGAGAGAGAGA